GGATTCTAAGTGAAGCAAAAATCAAACACTTTTTATTTTTTACAAGTTCAATTTAAATTTTTTACATTTAGGTTTTGAAAACGAAAAAACAAAACAAACAAAAAACGTTGTTTTCATTTTGCGACTTTACTTGGAAATAAAAAGAGAACCAGACACAGATTTGAATGTTTATATTTGAATGAAATGTTGTGTTTGTTGGTACAGTTCTCTGAGATGAGCACTTCTCAAAGGTTTTCTGTCCCTGTGTGTGCGTCAGGTATCACCACGGTGCTCACCATGTCCACCATCATCACTGGAGTCAACGCCTCCATGCCCAGGGTGTCCTACATCAAAGCCGTGGACATTTACCTCTGGGTCAGTTTTGTTTTTGTTTTCCTCTCTGTGCTCGAGTACGCTGCCGTCAACTACCTGACCACGGTGAGGGACGGCGAGGACCGGAGGCTCCGAGAAAAAGTGAAAGAACAGGTACAATTTACACTTTTGTCTGGCTTTTATACTTTTCTGTTCAAACTTTTATGTATCCTGTTCTGATTGTATATCTTTTAGATTTGCCTCTGATTGTACAGCACCTTGTGAATCTATTTCTATGAAAGGTGCTTTATAAATAAAACTTTACTACAAAGAAAAACCAGTCAGAGGTGCTTTAGATCGTTCCAGAAACCTTTACGAAGCTGTGYTGTCTCGTCTCTTCCTCCCAGTCCCAGAATCTGCCCTGTGATTGTGGCATGCCTCAGAGCAAGACCATGATGCTGGACGAGACCTACGAGGCCGACGCCAGCAGCCTGGCCGGGTACATCAGAACCTCCAAGGTGTCGGAGGACGAGTCAGACAAACAGGAGCAGATGGTGGTGCGTTTAGCTTTGGACAGTGAGTTCTCGGGGATAACTAAGAAGAATCGTTTTCACCGATTCTGCATCATCCAGAACACCCACACCATCGACACGTTATCTCGTGTGATCTTCCCAGGCGCCTACACCCTTTTTAACCTGATTTACTGGTGTGTGTACTGCTGAATGTGTGTGTCTGATCATCACCCGCACCACAAAGACACAAACACTTCCTGGATTTAAGGAAACTGAGTCAGGTTTGGCAACATGGCTCCAGAATCCACCGTCTGTGAATATGTCCGCCTGACTCAGGACCTCCTGTAGAGAATAGAGAGATTCTCCTTCCAGCATCAGAAACTGAAGTTCTTCATCTTCTGAGCTGCTTCCACTCTGCTGCTGGCTGTGGGCTGCCGTCTGTAAAGTTACACAGTCAAAAATTACCACCGATATTTGTGTTTTATTTAGACTTT